TCCAAAGCAGCTGGTGGCGTTTATGTTCTTTTGCAAGAGAAACAAACATAATTTGCTTTTCTCCAAGGTAAGGGGCCTCGATGAGGACACGGCGGCATCAGCCACATGCCCACGCTCAGGCCCAGCGGTGGCAGCACGCAGGTTCCCACCGCGGAGGACGCGGCGACAACAGGACAGGTGCTGCGGAGGGGGTGCCCACACTGCAGCGACCCTGGTGACTCCCAGGGAGCCGGGGCAACGCGTATCAGATGTGCTCATGCCACAGAGCACCCTCCATGCCCCGCCGCACTGCCCTGGTCCCCACTGCCGCATGCCTCACTCAACAGCCACAGGAAAGCAGACGGGGGCCCCAGCACGCCACAGCCAGGCCCCCAGAGGTTCTAGGAGCCCCCCAGTTATGCTTGGAGGTGTAATGAAAACAAAAAGCTGAGACACTGAAAGTGCCAGCAGCCACTCCTGAGATGCTCCTGGGAGGGAGGCCTGGCGGCCGGGGTGACACCAGCAGGAGGCCGTGGCAGAAGAGCCAGGGCCCACCTACCCAGGGTCCAGGTTTAGCATCACCCGCCTGGCTCTCTGTGTCTCATCAGTAAAACGGAAATACCCCCGCCTCAACGAGCTTCCACAGAAAGGAAAGAAAATACGGTGTGTGAAAAGCTTCACAAAATAGAGGCCAACGACTTACTGCAGGATGTGCTGGTATGAAGAGCATTCAAAGCTAAACACACTCTTCCTACATGATTCAGGTATTTAAGGTGAAAACTTATGTCCACACAAAAACATGCACATGGATGATTACAGCAGCTTTATTCACAAAGGCAACCAAGATGTCCTCCAGTAGGTGATGGATAAATAAGCAGCGACACATCCAGAGAATGGATTTTATTTGAGGATAAAAAGAAGGGAGCTCTCAAGCCAAGGAAGGACATAGAGGCGCCTGAAACGCATATTACTGAGTGACAGAAGCCAGTCTGAAAAGGCTACACACTGTGGGACTCCAACTACACGGCCTGCTGGAAAACGTGAAACTACGGAGGCAGTGAACGGATCGGGGGTCACCGTGGCAAGGAAGGAGGGAGGGGTGCCCAGATGCGCACAGAGGACCGTGAGGGCCGTGAAGTGCCCTGTGTGATGCTGTGATGCGGGACACACGACACGAACCATTTGTCAAAACCCACAGAGAATCCAGCACAGAGAGTCACCCCTAATGTAAACTGTGGACTTTAGTTCATGTAGCAGTTGGAACAACGGACCACAAACTGATGCAGGAATGTCAGCGGTAGGGGATTGTGGGGCGGGGGAAGAGAGACATGGGAACTCTCTATTTTCTGCTTAATTTTTTTTGTAAACCTAAACTACTCTAAAGAATAAAAGTTATTAAATTTAAAACATGAACATTTTAAAATGTCACATACTGTATGATTCTATTTGCACAATGTTCTTGCGAAAATTTCCAGAGATGGAGAACAGACTGGGGTGAGGGTAGGGGGCCAGGGTGGCTTTAGGGGGCAGCCCAAGGAGGCCCTCACAGTTGGAGGGTCAATCCTGCATCTTGAACGAGCGGTGCTTACACAAATCTGCGTGGTGATAACCTGACAGACGCACACACTGTAGGAACATGAGTTGTGGTCTTGATGCTGCACTAGAATCACCTAGGATGCTTGCTACCACCCAGGAAGCTGGTGGAAGATGCACGGGGGCCCCCCATTCTACCATCGTCACAACTTCCTGTGCATCTAAAATTGTGTTTTAAAGAACATAAAACTAACCCACCCACCAGGCTCTAGCAGTCTCCTCCTTTGCTGGGCACTGTTCCCTCCGGCTTCCTCCTCTCTGTTTGTCTGTTCCCTCTCAACCTCAGGGGGACCCCAGGAGCTCAGAGCCCTGCCCCCACTACTGCCGCCTCAGCGGTGCCTAGAACAGACGCCCCATAAGAATCTGTGCAACGACAAAGTGAAGGACAAAGTCAGTGAATGAGTCTGGGTTCTTCCTTTCGATTCCTTTGCAGCCTTCCCACCTGCCTACATTATGAGCTTGGAACACGTAAACCTTGCCTGAAGGTCGGCCTTTACAGATCCAGAGAGAACGTGAGAAAATATTTTCAACAGAGTAATAAAAATAACCCACATCAAAATTCATGGGGTAGGCATTTATGATAAAAACTCTTAGAAAACTACAAGTGGATGGGGATTTCATTAATCCAATAAAGAGTATCTACAAAAAACAAACAGCACACGTGGCTCTTAGCGGTGAATTACTGAAGCTTCCTGAGATCTGCGTGAGTCAAGCACCTGCAAGCAGCCAGGCTCGTCCACGGGGAGACTGCTCTCACACTAAGGGATTTAGCAGGACTATTAGGTACAGACGCTTAACTGCATTTCCATAGCCCGGCACCAACACAGAGAAGGTAAAATCCGTGAGAGACACCATTACAACTACATGAACATAGAAAACACTTAAGGGGGAAATATCTAGCAATGTGCAAGACTTCTACCCTAAAAACTACCAAATACTGCTGAGAGAAATTAAAGAAGACCTAAGTAAGTGGAAGAATGATAATGTTCTGGTTCAGAAAATGAAATGATGTTAAGGTGTCATTTCTCCCCAAACTAGTTTATTCACTGTAATCCCAACCATATTCCAGCAGATTCTTTGTGCGTCAACAGACAAACTTACCCTGAAATGTCTAAGGATGCGCAGAGGACCAAACGGAGCCAGAGAAACGTACAGAGCAATAACCAACCTGCACGTTTACCACCAGACGCCAAAGCACAATAAAGCTGCATCCGTGAAGACAGGGCAGCGCTGGCAGAAAGACAGACGGAACCAATGGGCAGCACAGAGGACACAGAGGCTGAGCTGCCCATCGGCGGTCACTGACTGACACTTGAGGCAACGAGACCGCACACAGGGAACAGAGGGGTCTTTCCAGAAGCGGTGCTGGATCAATGGCACTTTCAATGGGGAAAAATCATCTTGTCGCCTGCTTCGCTCACACCCGAAATCAACTCCAGGTGCAGGTGACACCCAAACGTAAAAGGTAAAACAATAAATCAGAGAGAAGAGAAGAGTTCCTCACTCCGAAGATCAGTCCGGCACGAGCCACCAGGGGCCGCCATCAAGGTAACAAAGCCAACGGCTGGGCCGCGCCGAAGGTGACCACGGCTGCTCATCCCCAGACACGGGGAGGAGTGAAGAGGGCCCAGGAGAGGACGCCCGCCTCAGGCACCTCCAACCAAGACTCCGACCAGCTCAGGGCGGAAACAACCCTCTAAAACCCCCGAACCGGGAGGGCAAGGCGGGAGCGGGCCCTTCACGGAGAGGATGTGGAGGCCCACACCTCAGGAGGCTCCAGGGTCTCACACAACAAGCTGGTGCCTCCGTACCCACCAGAGTGAGTCGAACCAGAGCCACCGGGTTTTGGTGCAGACCCGGGGGGCCGGGACTCTCCCACAACTGGGGGTGGGGGTGCACCCCGGGACAGGCACTGTGGGGACAGGCTCTGTGAGCAGCATTCCACACCTCGACGTGCCCACAGAAGCGGGGCCACCACCCAGCCTGCCCTCACCAGGGACACAGAGCCTACCACCTGCCTATATTCCCTCCAGAAAACTTATCACCTGCTGTCCAGGACAGAATTCAAGGATGTGAAGGTAGACTTTAACCCAGGGGTCTCCCCACTCCTTCTGACCTAACGCACTCCCCAACTTCTCCACGTACAAAGCAGGAACTGCCCGCATCTCTGCAGGGCTGAGCTACTTGAGATCAGGAAGGAATGGAGAACCTCAGAGCGAACAGGCTACTCTCCTGGTCTCATGGGTCGGCGCCAGCAGCTCTGGAAGGCACTGGGCTTCAGCAGAGAACCACAGGGACGTGCCACCCTTGGCCCAAGCCTGGGCCTCCCCGCTGCTGAGCTGCTGACCCCACTGCGGCTTGGCCGGCAGCTGGACAGGCCTCACCACCACACAGCTCCTGCCAAACCACAGGTGATTTCTCAAAGCTGTCAAGCAAACATGAGGAACATAAAGAGGTAGGTTTATACAAGGTAAACAGCACAAATCCCAACACCCAACCAAAGCCCCTCCGTCAGAAAAGGACCAGGACACTTGAGGGCAGCCTCCTGGGCGTAATGACGATCCTAGGCAGGGAGGGAGTCCCGGCCGTCGACGGACCCCCGAGCGACGACTGCTCCCCCGGCCCAGGGAGACTTGCTCCCGGGAGCCTTCCTCCAGGACAGCCTCTTCTGGACACAAGGCAAGAGGAGCTCTGGCCTCTTCTGGGACATCCCCGTGTGCTTCCTGCCTCAATTTCCCAAAAGCTCACCTTCTGCCCACGTATTTGTTTCTTAAGCAGCAACAGCGGGGGTCCCATGGGGGTAGGGGGACGACATCACTGCCAGACCGTGACCCTGGAGGTAAGACACCAATGACAGGTGTCCTCCTCCAAAGGCTGCTCCACTAGGAAATGGGGGTCGGGGGGGGGGGGGTGTAGGAAAGAGGGGGAAGGGAGGCTTTTACTTTCATTTTTTGAAAAAATTCATGCTAAAAGTTAGCTTTCACTGCTTAGAGTCTATAAATAAGATTCTGTAACCATATTGTGGAATATTAGGGGCACGCTGGAAATAGCTCATTTCAAATAGGAAAATGGTTTGTGTTCACCCAGTTCTGGAAGCCAATTTTCAATTGCTTAAAATAGTCATGGTATTTTACCAAGGTAATTACACTCTTAGCTATCAGTAACAATTAAGCCCTTAGACTAGAGATGCTTAATAAGGTCTCAGAATAAAATCACACATTCCAAGCACTGTACTCTGAAATGTCAAACACGCAAATAGGGCCCTCGATGGGGCGCAGGAGAGTCCTGTCAGCGCACCTGGCCCAGCGCCGCAGAGGAGGGCGGGACACTGCACTCGCCACGCCCTACCCCAGGGAGCCTGGTCTGGGGGCTCCCAGAGGGGTGGGGGTGTCTCCCAAGGAAGACAGGAAGATCAGCAACCAGAGCACCCTCGAGACCCGACAGCTGCCGCCCTGGAGGTGCCTCGAGCAGGAAGCACGCAGACCACGCGGGAGCTGCCGTGCGAGCCCACGGGGCCACCGAGGGCGGGGGTGGGGGGTGGGGGGCGGACGTGCTCGGCTCCAACCAGGAAGCGGCAGCCTGGCCGCCCTCTGCAGACCGGCCCGACGAACAGCTTAATCATGCGGCTGGCAAGATGGACCCCGCGCGCCTGAGCCAGCCACCGACCCACTGCAAACATGCCTCCGAGCCACAGTTGGTGTAAGTCATCTGTCAGCGCCAGGCAATCAGTACCGCCCCCGCCCCCCTCTCAGAGCTACGCCTGTCAGCGCAGCGGGCCAGGGCCAGGACCGAATTAGACCAAAAAGTGCCATCAGCCTCCAACCTGCTGAGCAGGGGAAAGAGAGGAGTGGAAACTTCCTGCCTCGGGAGCCCAGAGCAGTGACCTTCAAGGACAGAAACTGCCCAAGGAGGAAGCCAGGCACAAGCGCATGATCACGGAGGTGCCAATGGATACCGAGGCCGCGGACCCTGCGGCGTTGGAGATATGCGGCCCCGCTGAGGAGCCGCCCGGTACACCAGGGCTCCCGGCGGGGGATCTGTACCAGTGAACCAATGCAATCCTGGTAAAGCAGAGCAGGGGGCCGAGCCGCCAGGCTGCCAATCCAGCCCACAAGGACACTCGATGGGCAGCACGGGCACTAGAAGTGGACGACACTGGCAAGACCGACAGGCCCCGCACGGGGACAGCTCGCAAACTCACCAGGCGTCTCCCCTGTGGGGCCACCTGCAAGGCTGGCGTCGAGGTCGGCCAAGCCTGACCCCAGGAAGCTCGAGTGACGTGAGACACACGGCAGGGGATGTGCTGGAGAGGCCGGGAGACGGCGAGCTTTCAGCAGCCGGAATGTGACCTGCTTCCTAAAAGCTTCATGACCAGGAGGTCCCAGGTTTTTATCAAACGATCAAGAGCAGGCAAACAGTTGTCAGACGCGACTCCTGAAACTTCCCAGGGGGACGCCCCTGCCCCCAGCCCGCCGCCCCCACCCGCCAGGTCAGCGCGCCCGCCTGGCCGCTCACTATCAGCCTGAGGGCAGGTGGGAGGAGTCCGCCAGCATCTGGACAACCCCGACCCTCGCCTAGAGAACATCTGGGGACAGTTTCTGGCTTTTTCCTTCCTCGTCTTCTGAAATTTCAGCATCCAAGGCAACATTTTAAATAATGCTCTCTCACACAAAAATCGTAATTCATGCTCCAGCGAGCTGTGTGTATCAAGCCAGACGTCAGAGCCCCTCGGGCTCAGCACAGTTAGCAAAAACCCGGCCGCCCAGACGGAGCTGGGAGCAGGAACGCATCCCGCCCAGCGCACCTGCACACAGGTGACAGCTTCCCACTGCAGTCTACCCTGCGCTCCCTGGGCTCCGAAGGAGGGAAAGGCTGCACCTGCCCACCAGGCCAGAGGGAGGGCTGACCCCACCGTGAGACACAGGGGGTCGGGGCTGACACCCCGCGACCCCAGGTCAGTGCGTGAAGGCCCCGGGCTCTTGCCCTTCACAAGGAGAGGCCCAGCAGGGAATCCCAGGGTCTGCGTTTCAGAACCCTCCTGGCAATCCAGGGTAAAGAGGCGCAGGCTGGCTCAACCGCCAAGATGCTCTCCCCGCTGGTGAGGGGAGAGCTCCATCTGGCGTGAGCCGTGACTCACAGGCAGCGCCGCGTGCGTCTAACTGATCGAGAAGTGGGGGCACAGATCGCTGGTGGCTCTGGGTGCGCTGCACTCGGCAGAGGCCCTGGCAAACGTGGGGGCCTGGAGAGGAGACTACGCGTGGACACGGCAGCGGCGGCCCGTACCTTCGTCAGCAGCAGGACGCGCCTCTGCAGCCGCCGGGCCAGGGCCTCGTGCACCTCCCGCTTCTTCCTCTCCTCCAGCAGCTGGCTGCCGAGCTGGCGGACCTCCTGCTGCAGCCGCAGCCTGGCCTGCTCCAGCCCCCGGGCACTGCGGGAGGCAAAAGGGCAGAGTGATGAGGCCCGGCCCCCAGGCCAGCACCCAGTGACGGCCCCCAGGCCCAGCGCGGCCCACGTCACTCAGGTCCCAGAACAGAGCCGCGCGTGCAACCAGCCCGCTGTCACTTCCTCACTTCTGAATAGCTACTTAAAGCCCTTCAGGAGTGTCTGGATTTCAAAGAGTCGCCCAGGGTGATCCCAGAGCACGGAAGGCGCGGGGGAGGGAAGCTCAACTGCACACACAATGGGGAAAATTGCCAGCGGCGCGGGCTTCATTCGGGAGGGCGCCTCTGAATGAGCTCAATCACCGGGGCAGGCACTTCCCATCCGAACCGCAGTCGGCCACAGATGCGCCGCTCCGTGCGGCGCGGGGACGTCAAGTACCAGCCCAGGGTGGGCCCGTTCCAGACGTCCTGCAGAATCGAGCCCCCCGCAGAGCTCCGCCAGCAGGGGGCAGACCCCGGGGCACGCGCTCCCCTGCACGTGGCCCACGCCCTGCCTCAGTTTACACACTTGGCGTTGCTCTCCGGTTACCGTGACAGCCTCTCGCCTGGGCAGCCTCCGGTGCCACCAAGCCGTCCCTCAGACTGCAGATCGGATGGGCACCCGTGGGCTCACATGCCAACTTCCTGGCAGGGCACCTTCAGAGTTTGGTCTTTGCC